GCCCTCTTCCACCCACAAAGGCACGGGCACACAAATGGGGTCAGCAGAAGACTTGCGCAACTGAAAGGAAATACAATTAGCAGTGAGTGATCATCTCCTGTTTCCTACATTTAACTCTGTCACTCAGAGAATGGAGCACTGGGAAATGTGGACTTTTCTTTTTCTCCCCCTTGTTTTTCACTCCTAAAATAGCAACTTTCCCCCCACTACCCTTTAAAAACTAACAAAGGCAGTCATGATACTCTTTGTGTAATGATAACAACCGATTTCATCACAAAAGTCCTGAGAAGAGGGAACAGTTTTCCACATGTATGATGAGAGTTCTTTTGTGCAGGTGTGCAAATACTGCCATCTGTGTGCGATAGCTGTCACGCATCATGCACAAGACGATGACCCGGGGGGGAAACGACATCTACGCCACATTAGTCATAAAATGTACAAAACCGTCTGGGACCACAGTAACTGTAATTCATTTAATTTTCTGGTTCACTGTAGTATTATATACAGGAACCCAGTATATAAACCACATTAGGAAGACCTGTTCTACTCCAATCAACTTTGAAGGATTTCAAATTAAAAGCTGTCAACAAGAGCAAAGTTTTGGACATTAGTTTAATGGTCTCCAAAGCAGCCCTGCTCCATCATCTGTTCCCTCAATTCAAAATGGTGACTGCAGGGGTATCAGAAAATTTCTGACGGGCCATGAGGTAACTGTGACCCAATACTGTCCTGTATCATCAATCTTAAAAGTCAGTGGGCATCAATCATTAATAGGAGTGAAGGAGGACGAGACATTACAGCTCATGAGCAGTCTGGTTTGGCACTCAAGGTCATTGGACCTGTACTGTGCATGTAAGAGAGCTCCACTTCCCTTTTCCACAGTTTGTGCCAAAGAATGATGTCACTTTTAAACAGGGGGCACTTAGGTGCAGCCACTGCGTCTGCAAAGAAGTGTGAGGTAATAAACAAGAGGAATCAGGTTCACAACAGAAGCCTTAACTTTAGCTTTGGTGCGTTTACCCGAATAATAGAAGAGTTTACGTAAATATCAGGACATACTGATTTTTAAATCTCGCAAATAGCTGGGAGGTGTTCCCAGTATTAGGTTGCTGTGGCAACAGATGCTAAAATTAAGTGTGTCATTTTAAAATATTGCCACCAGGTGTCAGTAAAGGTGCATTTTTCCACTGATTTTGCGGACGTCTCAAGCTGACGGGGAGACAGCGATGACAAATACATACACTCACAACACCTACTATAAAACAGAGCACGAAAATAACAGAGGGAGACCCAGAAGGCTTATATTTCCCATACTCTGCATAACATCTGGGGCAGGCATTCGTGTCAGTCTGGTATTGTCTCAGTTTACACTTACACTCAGTTTATCCTCTGTGTAATGTGAGATTTCAGACCGACTGCTGCCATATCACATAAAACATACAGTGTAACTGCTAACGAAGCGGTGCATGTAAAAATGTGGTTTGTTTGCAAAGCTCACCTGTCCTCATTCTTGAAGACGAACTTCCGCAGTTTGAGGTCACGGAGGACCAGTCCGTTGTCGTGGCAATGTGCCACAGCAGAGGCTATCTGAAAGAAGAGTCTGGCTGCTTCATCCTCCGGCAATTTCTTGCACGTGCGGACAAAAGAGTGCATGTCGCCATAGCTTCTCTCGAAGAACACATAAGCCCGTGTCTCTCCAAGCAGGATCTCCAGGATTTGGTTAATGTGCTGGTGCTGGCCCAGGGCAAAGTAGGCTGCCAGTGACTCCTGGTAGCGGCTGATGTCGAAAACCTGAAATGCATGAAGTATACATTTCACAAACATTATTTTCTTTTTAGTCTGACAATGTGTTTGGATGCGAATGTTTCATGGTTTGAACATCTGCTAAACATTTACCCAATTGAGAGAAACATTTAACCCCAATGAAGAGAGCTACGAAACGCCTTGTAATTGGACAGAATGTGACCAAAATTTCGACGACATAATTGTGACACCAGACATGGGAACTCTTGAAGATTTTCATGGTCTGTACAGAGGTAACCGTATTGGTGCACGGTATTGTACTGCAGCCTGGGGTGCACTGTCTCTTTTGTTTCCATAGCAACCAACCCCCTCCCAATTGACTTTCAGCAAACAGTTCAGGTGAGAGGGGGCTCGTCTGCTCACACTCAATGCAGATGCACCTCACACTTTCCAGGGTCCTAACTCGCAACCTGGGCTTCCATCTTGTCAGGACTGATCAATCCTGATTTTGGAGATTGACTGATAATCTACTGAAACCTACATCGGTCAGCTGAGGTCAAAAAGTAGTTCGATGGCAGGCCGTGCTGGATGCCATTCATCTGCTGTTGCCATGACGAACCATTAAATCAAACAGAAGGCTAAAGATTATTGGATCTGTGGCTTTTGAGTGCAACAGTACATGTAACTATTATCCCAATTCATCAACCCACCACTTATGTCTTCTTCAGAGCAAGTATATACCATAGCACAAGGTCCGCCCCGCTGTCTGTTTAAGCCATTTATATTCCAAAGTCAATATGGGCTATAAATTATGTGGAAAGGCCACGAGGTTGCCCTCGGCCTCATGGGAATAGTGGTTTATTTCTTATGGTTAGAAAGGTCAGAACTGGAGCCAACGTCACAGGAGCTGGATCGGCTTGCAAAGTTCCCCTGGCTTTGTGGGCTTTTCTCTCAACAAAACTCCTCTCAAAATGATCTCAACTCATTATCTAGCACTACATGTGAAACCCCGGGTGAAATCGTTCGATTACAGGGTGGCAATACTGTGAAAGACGGTAGCCATGGTTAGGCCAGTGTAGCACTGAGAGAGGAGTGAGTGAGTGAGTGAGTGTGTGTGTGTGTGCGTGGTTACTCACTCCTTTGTCAGCGTTACATCATGCAATCCAAACCACGCAGCTCGGCCCATTCACTTTTTCCATTAGGCTGCTCTGCCACTTCTCTACTTACAATGCAACTAATAATTTAAGCCCTTTAAGCCCGGGGTGGACACGCTGCAACAGCCAGCACATAGACACCGACTGGGTCGTGGTCCTAACAGTAAATTCAATTCATTCTCAACAATGCATACCGCAATAAACCGTACAAGGTGATAAGGCTATGCGATGCAGGGAACATATATGAGGGGTGCACACCAACCTTACAAACGAGCTCTTCCCCGCTGTGCAGGTGGGCGGCTCTGAATACGTGATCTCCCTCCAGCGGCTCCAGCAGAAGGTAGTCCCCGATACGGGAGATACAGTGCGAGGAGTCCGGGGTCTCCGGCGGGCTGGGGGACCCGAGGTTGGGACTGAAACTCTGATGTGATTCAGTAGTCCTTAAGCAAGACAATTCTTCGAAATCGTGCGATTTGTGCCGCGATCTCCCATAACGTGAAATGGCAATTGGATTTGACCTCTGTATGTTCATGAGGAAAAAGTGTGATAACTCCACAGTGTAGGGGGGGCTTCCTCCTCCTTGGTCCTCTCCTAGTTCTCTCTTTATTCGGCCACCACTTAATCGTAAAGTGCAATGTGTTATTAAGGTTGTTTCCTAAGCACTGAGCACAAAAATAGATTTATCTGAAACCGGCAGCTGGAAATGGCAGACTATCAACAGGCAGAGTTGCTTTGTTGGCTTTCATTCAACAAGATGAGCAGTGGATATTTTACAGTTCAATTGTTCCTTTGCACCACTTTGTTTTCCATGCAAAAGATGGCGAGGTCAGGGATAAATAACTGAACTCTGGAAAAAATAAACCGTCACAACGACCGGCGGATATTGCACTGACGAAAACTGCAACAAAGGCGATCAAAAGTCAGCTTTGCCCAATGAATGAGACCTCAGTTAACCCGCAGCTTGTTTGTTAGCTTATCGCACCGCTTAATGGCACTGGCAACAATTTGTTTTTAAAAAAATAAGCCAAAGAAAAATCAAACACATGCAAACGCGTTTAAAGCAATTTGTGCATGGGCAACACGACTGAAGTGAAGCTTCAAATTTTACAGTCAAATAATAGCCAGCAGGTGCAGAGCAGTTAGCTTCCTCGGCTAACTAGTACCAGGTCAGTGCACGGCCTTGTTCTCCAGGATCATTTCCATGCACGGTGATTGTCATCAAGCAGAGAGGCAGAAAACCCCATCCGGCAAACGCGATAAAACACACTGCTGCAGCTCGGCTCTTTTGTGTGCGCGACTTCACGTCCTCTTTCTCTCTGCTGCTCGAGTCCACTGGAGGAAAAAAGTGTCGTTCAAAAAAGATGCCTGCTGTTGTAAGGTGCTGGAAGTATGCAAGGAAGGAAGGAAGGAAGAAAGGAAGGAAGGAAGGAAGGAAGGGTGGAAGGAAGGAAGGGAGGAAGGAAGGAAGGAAGGAATGAAGGTAGGAAGGAAG